GTCACATTTGGCTCTCAGTGGTAACCTCATTGGGAGCTGATGTAGCTGACTGATAGAAGAATTCAGTCCTGCTTATTAACACAGGGCTCTGCAGTTACAGATTAGTGCTTATTCATCTATGAAGAGCATTCACTATCACCATCCGCAGCAAGAGTACAGAAAAGAACTCCAACAAACTCCAAACAGAACAGCCTGTTGGCAGCTGTCACGACAATCAGAATAAACGCAGAGAGATACTGTGCTCAGCCCCTGTGATGTCTATCAGGGAGCTATTTCAGTTGCTCCCGGAGGCATTCACATCTCAGCCCATCTGTGTCTGATCCTAAATTACTTATGACTGTGAGAGATAAGGGATTTCCCCATAGATAAGGGGAGGGGGGGTGGAACATAATTTCTGTGTTTGATATTTATATTAATGGCACAGCATGCAGAAAGCGTTTAATTCCCGAGAAGTAGAATTTAGGTGACAAAAATATCAGTAACAATCAGATATTAAGAAAAAGACACTCCATCCAGCAGCTGCTTTTTTTGCTTAAAAATTTTCCCCTTGGTAAAGGATCAGGTGACAATGAGTATGATGAACATTGAAAATGAAATTCTCTAATAGCACAATCCAGCTGCAAGCCAAATGTTACACAAAGACCCTGGCAAGACTGAAAGAAGAAAGAGAGAACATAAAAGACACTGTATTGCAGTAGTCTCTACCCTCAAAGTGCTTCCCAACTGTGATTGAAGTTGCTGATCTCACTTCTTGGAAAGGCAAAGGTACTTATCCCTGTTTTCAGAAGCCAGGAGACTAAGCATCTTGCCCACAGTGGCACTGTCCTCACCAGAAGGTACTCTGAGTTGCATCTTATCTCCTAGTCATTAAGTGAAATGCATCTTCAGATAGGGACAGGTTCTGCTCAACAAGTAGTGGGGAAGGAGCTTGCTCCTTGGCTTACCTCCCCTAGGAATGCATCTACAGTCTACAAGAAGGGACAATCCTGGACAATGTTATGCCAGCACTACCACAGGCTGCATAGTTTTGAATATTTAGTTCATACATTAGCTGAATTTAGTATAAATGCCACCTTTTGGAAGCATTTCTTTTCATTAATTCAGCTGTCAGAACATTCTCCATCATGGGACAGTATATCTGCCTCCGATTCTGGACCATCTACAAAACTGGGACAATATGCAGGTTTTTAAATGATCCCAATCTCTGCTTTTCTTTGTGCAGAAACTTTAACTGATACCAAATCCTGTCTTATACAGCATGTTCATGTGAAATGATAAAAGACTATGATATACACATGTGCTACTTCTATCTATGGCAAATTAAAGGCTTTGCAAAAAGGTGAAAAAATGTATTTGGGACCTTAATTACATGGAAATTGAACTTGTACTCAGGAAAGGCCTTGGCATAAGTACTGTTGAAGTCAACTTGCTTTTCCAGATCTCAGTTCTATCTATTTGCAAAGTAGAAATAAGATTATTTCTTTAACTTTATGAAGAAATTTGAAATTATGTATGATAACTTAAATTCCACTATATTATTACAGTTTCAGGCTACTTCAGAACTAAAAGGGCTAAAGCTGAGCTTTTTCATGGTTCTATATTTTATGTGCATTGCTTTAGCAGTATGAATCCTAGACCATCTTTAATGAGTTGAGCATTCAGTGGTTTAGTCTAGTCAATGAATTTGATGGTTTAGTCTAGGTAGCAGCACCTTGAAGCAAAGATGAGGCCGACATTCACAGGACTACTTAGGGAAATGGCTAGGTTCTGTATTCCTCCAAGTTAACACAAAGTTACAGAACAGCAATTGGTTCTTTAGGCAGCACACCAAGGGCTTAGGTGACTTTGTTATAATTCAGAATTCCAGTGTTTCTGCACACTGGAAATGTTGTTTTTCAGCCAGCTGTGGTCCTTGCACTACCTGAGATCTAAGCTGCAGTATATACTAATTTTAAATCTGTGATTAATAAGAAGTTGGACTAATACAAATTAGTAAAAGCCTATACTGATAAGTGCTTAGCCTTACCTTTAATAAAGACAGCATTTGATGGTCTGTGACATTAGGGAGAGTTTCTTTCTGTGATGTACTTAAATTTCCCTTAGGCCATTTTCAGTGAGGTTGGGATGGGCTTGATTGGAAAATTTAATGGCTTTTTCCATTTCCATTCCCTTTTGCCAAGCTGGTCTTTAAAGCGGCTCTTTCATGATGTGTGAATTTCTGTCCATTTGAAGAACTAACATCAGATACAACACAGAAAGCAGATTTTAGAAATGAGCTATTAGGCAGAGAAGAGGCACTTTTAAGTTGCACAGCAACCAGAGGAACATACAGTCATTTGATTTCTCAAATGACTCTGACTTTGACTCAAGGGAAAAACAGTTTTATTCTCCCCTTAGAGCTTTCTATCATACGTGATAAAGAGAAAATGTGTTTATACATTTTCCCCCTCAAAAAAACCCGAACAACAACGTGGTACCTCGTCTCTGAGAAGCAGCAGCATCTATTACCATGTAAATTACTGCAGAACACATCCGGTCACAGCTCCTGTTTGTGATCTTAAATGAGAAAATACAGCAGTGTAACCTTCCATTTCTTCTAGCTTTTAGACATAACGTACTGACCCTTCTGAAATCATAGATTAGAAACCAACCAACCAAATGACAATCGATGCTTGATGTTTTTTCAGTTTCTGTAGAATTGTTTCTTTCATCACAGTCCCCAGACTTGGAATTTTACAGTAACTTTTTCTGATCATTACAGGCAACAGGTCTTGGCTTTTTCTGGAGATCATCACCACATCAACTGTTGTTCAGCTCCTGCTGCGTGCATGTGTAGGCTGATTCCAAAACAAATGAGTTTGCGATTTTCTTTTCTGATGCCCATGTTTATTATAGTAATAACACAAACATCCAGCTTCATAAATACCAGATATTCCTCTTGGAGATCTTATTTTCAATACTAATTTTGGTCTGTCCATATATTTGAACTACCCAGTCCAAAAATGGTCTGATTCTGGTATAAACAGCCTGTTATAGCATATAAAATACATACATAAAACCTAAAAATACCTACAGAAATGAATGACTTTATCAGACTGAGGAACTGATTTTTCTTTCACTTGACCGTGGTTTAGTAATTTTGAACATGGCAGTGCTAGTTCTCTGCTTGTCCAGAGCACTCTGAGAACTGCCCATAAAAAGTCCTCTCGATATTGGGCAGTTTTGGCAGTGAACGAATATTTAAAAGATATGGCTGCATGGTAAAGCTTTTATTAAGAAATTCTCTTTCACAGTGAATCCAATCTCCTGGTGACTAAGACCTACGGGGAGTCTGAGGTATCTTTAGATATGATGATAAGAGCCTTGTAACTGTCTCATAAATGCACCTGTGATCACTGATTCAGTATTAGCCCAGGCCGTGTCTACACCAAGTGCAGTACTGTCTACACACAGGCTTCTGCCAGGGTGGAAAATGATACCAATTTGGGGTGGCAAAACAGTAAGACTCCTGTATTCAGAAGCTTTTGCTACCATGGCATAGTCCTTCCAAGAGCTGGTTTAAATTGTAGTGGTGAAAGAGCACTTTGCCTGATAAAATCATCCCTGAGGGGGAAGAAAAGCCTGGTAGCAATACATCCCTCCCAGACATCCCTTTTAAATACAGATGAGCCCAGTGTAATAAACAGGACTGGCATCTTCAGGTTACCGCTTTGTCTGCTTTATAAGAGAGGTCTGTTCTCCTTTATAAATGCTGCTAGTACTTTTGTGTCCATTGGAAGTGCGATTCTTTCTGATAGAGCTGTCTGATCATAGATGTAGTTATATTGTCAGAGGAGCGTGTTTATCGATAACTGCATCCGTGTTAGGACAGTTTTTCTGATTTAATTACAGCAAAACAAGTATAACGGGCAACCTCTGAACAATAGCTGAGATTTTCTTTTGAACTTGCAGAGCCCAGTGAGAAATCTGAATCAGATCAGAAGTATAACCTCATTAAGATGGATTAGAAATCAAGTATGTAAAGAAAAACACAGTTGTCGTGGTCTTGCAGACATCTCTGATTAGCTATGGGTCTAAAAAGTTTTGAAAACCATGGGGCTGTCCAGGTATAATCAGGAACATAAAGTCTTCTGGCATAGACCAGAAATATTTTGGCTTGAGTGTGAAATTCCAAGGGCTGTTAGGTATTAAAACAGTCTGAAGTAGTTGCAACCTGAGCATGTCTGGTATGGAGTCACTGAGATGCAATAAATCACTATCATAACGATATTTTTTACAGAGTGAAAGTAAACTTTCAAGTGTCACTTTTGGTACTGTGATCAAAGGTTTCTTTTTGCCTCTGCTTAATCTCTTACATTTTACAACTGTTCTCTTCCTTAATAGCAAGGCGCGTTTACAAATGTGCTGTCCTGCTTCCCAACAGATGTCACCTGGCTGAACTTTACATTACTGCGTGCTGTCTCATGCCCAGCCCATCCCACACACACATATGCTGGTCTTCTTGCACAAAACCACGTGCAGCACCCCACACAGTTCTGGAGGCATTCTCTCTCCCTCTCTCTCGCTCTTTCTCTCTCTCTCTCTCACACACACACAGAGCTTTACACCTTTTCCCTCCTGTCTCATCTTTTAGTCACTTCTTAAAGATGCTGACAGTGATTTGTTTGAGACAGTCGAAACCTGAAACATTCTGAAACAGAAACACATGGGAAGAGAAAAAGCTCATAGTAATTTCTGTTGTATCACTTTTGCACGAGGCTTCATGTGTGGTGAGTGACTGATCTGCATAAGGATGCTTCAAATAGAAAAGACCTCATAGAAGAAATCTTAAAAGCTATGTAGAAAATAAGAGCGAAATCTCCTTTCTTCCCTCTGTCTCCAAAATATGCTTTTCCACCCCATAGCCAGCCCCAAACTTAATATGTGGGCTCTAACACATGCGTGAGGGGGAGTGCACGTGAAGTACCAGTCAGTAATAATCTTTTTTTTTTCCTCCTCAGTTTGTTGCTCAGCCAAACTGCCAGCAGCTACTAGCAACACTTTGGTATGATGGTTTTCCAGGATGGAGGCGGAAACACTGGGCAGTAAAACTCTTGACCTGTGTCACCATTGGACTGCTATTTCCTGTGCTATCCGTGGCATATCTGATTGCACCGAAGAGCAGGCTGGGACTGTTCATTAAAAAGCCATTTATAAAGTTTATCTGCCACACTGGCTCTTACCTGACCTTCCTCTTCATGCTACTGCTGGCGTCGCAGCACATCGTCAGGACTGACCTTCACATGCAGGGACCGCCTCCCACCATCGTGGAGTGGATGATCCTGCCCTGGGTTCTAGGTAAATCAGAAATGCAGAAATGCCTGAGCCACAGTCGCCTGACTCGCACCCATGGCAACTGCGTGGAGACTCATTCCTGATCTCAGCATCATCAGCATGTAAAGAGATTTGGCAGCCAGCTTCAGTAACTGCATAAAACAGCTGGGCTCCTTCTGGAACAACAGATCCTGTTGGCCTAGGGCTTTTCTGCTGTTCATGTTGCCATCTGACATGCCTTTAGACATGACCCAGCAGACACAGCTCTCTCCCTGCTTCCCCCATGCTCTGTGTGAGGAACGGGTTAGGAATTAGCTTCTGGGTCACGCTAGTAACAAAGAGTGTCACTTCTCATGCTGGCTTAGTTGTGCTGGCTGGTAGATGGCAGGAGGCAGCGCCCAGAGCCGGCCTCTTCCTTCGCCTTCTCACCCAGAGCTGGTGTGTGGGTACCACGCCTGTTTGTTCCTGGGCTCCCAGACTTCCAAATAGCCTACGGGAAGGCAGAAGAGGAAAGATAAATCTCACTCTGCCTCATGCCTCTGTGCTGATAAACACTGACCAAATCAATATTGAGAGCTCTAATATAAGCAGGAGAAGGAAGGAGTATTTATTAGCAGAAGGTTAAACATGAGGCTTTTATTCTGGTCTGGCTTGGACAACCACAACTGTGAAGAAAAGGAGGTGTCTGTGTTCCTCAGGGCAGGATGTACAGGTGAGGTAGTGAGATGGGATGGAAGAAAGCAGATAGAGCCACTGAGGGAGAAGAACAGAGAAGCATATTTGGATATATTTTTGATAAGAGAGAAGTATTTGTCCTTTCAAAATGAGCTCCAACACAACAGCAAGTGAAACCCTGTGGATTCCACTAGAAGCATGAGCTCTCCTCTAATTAAGGTCCCATCTCCCTTGCTGTGCTGTTAGCACGTAGCACCACTGGTTTGTTAGTAGGAGGCCTGCTCACAGGCAATGGTTTACACACCTTTCCAGCTCTCCTCCAGGCTCTGTCCATACAGCCCAGGTCATTTCAGCGCAAAACCCCAGAAGTCAGGTAACAGCGAATTGCTACTGTTTAGTAGGGGTTGGTGGCCTGCGAAGCCACACTGATGCTTTGTGAGGACACCTCTCACAAACCTCAATCTCTGGAGCTCTCCTTACGGCTCCTCAATGCTTCTGGGTCCACCTCTGCTTTCCTGTGCCTGCTGGCTCCTCTCCTGGTAACGCTGGGTCCCAGCTCCTCATTTCTGTGGTGGCTCTGGATCAGGCTGGTTCTGTGCTGAACCAACCTAGCTGTTCCCCATACCAACCCAAAATTTGCTGATGGAAAATGAAGGAAGTAGGAGTTGCAAGGATGTTCACAAATCACTTTCCATCGTCACCCAGGGCACTTTGCTCCTTGCATAGCTCTACCACAACTTACAAATGGTAACTCAAGCCTCATTATCTTATTGAACTGATTTATGGCATTGAAATGCATGTGTTGGTGGAAACTTCAGAATAAGCTGAGAAGGTTAAATGTCTTTTCTGAGCTTAGGTGATCTTTTCACTTTATCCTTAACTTCATGGTTAAAACTGAAGGAAATGGTAGGCATATCAGCAAAATTGATTTGCAGATGAAAGAAGGATAATCCATTGAAAAAAACCCTTTCAAAATCACCTCTTACAGCTGTCTGCTTTTCTTTCTGAGTTCCTTTGTTTCAGATAAATAGGGATATTGTGGGGCTGTTTATTAAATGGAGAAATTAGAACAGTTTCAGCAGATTAAAGGTTATTATTTAAGAAATATCTTCCACTATAAAAGGAGAGAGAGAACAGGCACACACAGCATTGCTGTAACTATAGTAACCAGCAATGATAACTCACTATAAATACAGTGTATGAGTTCTTCAACAGGCTCCTCTCCATTGATTTATTTTATTTTATGTTTTTGTGTGCATGCAAAGATTTGGAAGCAGCTGTAATAAAATTACCTTATTGGCCTTGACATTATACTTTCCTGACTGTTGACCTGCTGGCTGGCAGCTGAAGAGCTAAGATTGATATTTGGATGTTTGCAGGAGTTCATTTCAACTTTACCTGCTCTTCAGATTGAACTTTCAGGTCCTAGGTCATGAAGGAGCCTAGCTGCTATTGGCTTTTTAATGGGACTTAGGCTCTCAAAAATACTTAAACAGTTCTACAATAAAGGACATAAAAGTTACTTCAAATTAGAATTGTGTTCCAGGTGAGTTTAGCAGTCTGGTAATGAACTTCAGAAGCTGCCCCTCACCCCTCCAGCTGCAAGGAGGTATAGTGAAGGTTAGCAAGTGCCAAAAATTATTACCAGAAGGCATTTCAGAGTTGAGATGATGGGCTCTGGCCGTATCCTCGGGAACAAGTATTCACCTCGCACAACCCATAGCCATATTTGACGGTAGGTGAGTCATTGCTGAGAGACGCGATGCCAGGCTGCAGAACCCTTTTTCATGCTGAGTGCTACCTTTTTTCGCAAATAGTCCCTATGGGCCTTTTGTCCACCAAGATGCATAAATACAGTGACTGAGCATAGAGAATGAATTCACTTCTTCCTTCTTTGGTGTGATATTTCCAGGTCAGGGAGGAAATGTACTGGCACGCAGAAGCTGGTACTAGTGTTGCAGGTTCTGCAAAGAAAGTCAGGAAAAATCAGTACTGTCCAACTGAGTAAGGAATTAATTACAGTTTCTATGAGAGCAGACAATCTATTAGAAACTATACCGAATACAGTTGCTTAAATATTCACATAGAACAAATTTAATCTGAGCCAATCCACTCGTACTACTTATAAGTAACTGTCCTGGTTCTATTTCAAGTGGTCTCCCTGTGTGTATATCTGGAGCCCTGGACAGGAAACCCAGGTCTTTTTCATATCTCTCTAGACTACATTCCCCACAAAGCTGTAAAATGTCTCATAATCAGCAGTATTATACTTTGTAGAAGACAGAAGGAATGAGACATTCTTCCCAAGCTGTTTACTTAGAATTGTCTTTTATTACATCAGATATACACAGTGCTTTAATGGCAAGTAATACCTCGTTATGACAATGAACTCTCTTTCTACAGGTTTTATCTGGGGAGAAATCAAGGAAATGTGGGATGGTGGATTCAATGAATACATACATGACTGGTGGAATCTGATGGATTTTGCAATGAACTCCCTCTATCTTGCAACTATCTCCCTTAAAATTGTTGCCTACGTCAAGGTACAGTAACTTGGGAGAGAGAATTTGTAACAACTTGCTTGTGAGAACTGAAGTACACAGGGTAGAAACTGTCAAAATCAAAATTACAGATTAAAGAGAATCGCTGCTTTCCAAGCAGTCCAGTTTTGAAAATTCACCTGGAAAGCTTATTAATTTGTTTAGAGAATGATTGTCCTTCTCCTTCTGACTCTTTGATTAAGACTGAAGTAGGTTTTTTGGGCATTGGGTAGCACCTACCCCGCTTGCTGTCTGTTTTGTAGCTACACAGTTGCCAAAGATACATTTTGTTTTCCATATTGACACCGGACAATGCTAGACATAGTGAAAACATGATTTTAAAATAAAACAGTAAAGGAAAAACAAGAATAGGGTTATCTGAAAACATCTACAGCCAGGATTTATAATCTGTAGTCCTACGGATCTGTAGATTACTGATCAGAAGTTTGTCAAAAGTCTACTAAGAAAAACGAGCCTGCTAGTAGGAGGCTTCCATCTGATACAAAGGAGTCAACAGATTCTCTTCAATATATAGTTTTAAACTATAGACAAGGAAACGACAAAGGAGCATGCTGGAGCTTTAACATTGTGTATATTCTTCACTGTAATGTTCCATTTATGGTGAGAATGCACATCAGAGCTCATCCTCAAAAGCACCTTCCACATTTATAAACTTCTGATGCTCCAAGTTAGCGTGTGCACATGTTCTGAAGCCAGAGGATGGCCTGAAGAACTTCCCTTCTGTCTTTTTCAAAGACACAAACAAGACACACATGGCCTCCTGCAAACTTCCTTATGCGATGGCTCTCTGACTTCAGTTGGAGCTGCGTGCTTGGCCTGATTCTTTTCTTGGTAGGAATCAGCAGTAACTTCACTACAGTTAGTGTAGTTACACAGGTGTAAATCAAGTAACTGGAGTCTGCTCCTTGGCCACTTAACACACTTTGTAGTTTTGCTGTGCTACTGTGTTGGGTTTGCCCTGGTAGAAGGGCACTACTTCTTTTAGCCCAGCTCCTAATAACCAGGACGAGCGCTTCTCCAAAGCAACCTTGTTTAGTCTCACCCAAGCATGTATGCAGGCAGAGAGGAAAAGATGAGAAAAATTCACAAAGCTCATTGACTCCAAAATGGCAAGGCTTTTATAAAAAACTCTTTAGCAAGCAGTCCTGCTATGGGGCCTTTGGATTTTAAATCCGAAAAGCTGCAGAGTGGTGAGTTGGTTTTTCAAAGGGAAAGGTTTTAAGATACTTGGTGCTCCCTGAAGAGGCAGCTCTGTAACAGCATCAAAGCAGGAACAGATTACATTTTTTTTCTCCCGACATTCAGAACCAGTGAGGAAATTACAGACTTGAAAGGTTGGTCTTTAAACTGTGAGCAATACAAAAAAATGCTAGAAATCGTAAGATTCACAAACAAATCTTAAAATGTTAGCAATCTCGTTCTTTCTCTTTCTCACACACAAATTACTAGAAGAGCTGTGCATCCACAGATTTATACAGTCACATACTGAGATTTAAACTCATAGCCAAACCATAGGTACAAAGGAAGTACAGCTTTGTTTATATACTCTGCAAGAACTACAGAAACTTACAGCCTGACTACAAAGACCTATATGCCAGCATACAAAAGAATGCTTACAGGAATATATCTGTTTGAGTACAGATCAGACCCACTTGGATTAAACCTGGCTGATCTAAGGTCTGCTCCTGACGAGGACAGTTCTGAGAGGTGCATAAAATCTTATTTATATAGGAGTAGTTCTGAAACAGCATGCTCACACAAGTTCCCTTCTGACCTATGGCACTTAGAGGTTGCAGTGTGCTCTGAAACATGAGGATTTATAACATTGATAATGGCTTCAAAACCTTTTGCAACATGACTTGTAAAGGTTTTTGTTATTTACAGAACAGCCCCAAGCTGGAAAAGGCTGGTCTATATGCCAATATACCATATTCTAACACTCTTAGAACTTCAAAGGATTACATAGACATTTAGCTTTCTGCCAAGTATCAGAAAAATAAATTACATAGTGACAGTAATGTTTTCCATCTTTGTTTTCACATGGAGATTTTTTTCTTGATTTGACTGGTTCCAAGACCTGGCCCTAATATTGTCCAAAACCAATGAAATCATCAGGCTAATTATAGGCTAAAAATACTTTTCTTAATCAGTTTTTATTTGTTACATTGCATTATCATGTAACAAGGAAGGGTAAATGTGACTGCTTGGCTTAACTTATTTGTACTATTCTGTATACATCTCTGCTGCGTTTCATCTGCTGCTGCCTAACCCAAACAACTCCAGCTTCATTAGATGCCTCTGAAGTCTTCTGTTTCTTTATTACCTATGATACTAGGCTGCTCTGAAGACACTACTGTTTTCGAAGCAAGGATATACCATCAGTTTAAAAAGGGACAAAATATGACCTTAAATTGCTTTAAAAATAGATGTGAGCCGAAGAAGACCTTTTCACATACCTTTACAGGCAGTCTATACTAAACCCTAGCAGAGAGCCCGTGGGCTGCTGTGTCCAGCCAGCTCGCAGAAGAGAATTGCAAACAACTGTGCAAATCTGCTCTCTAGGAAGGGGAAGCTTTCCGATCACAGCCGTCCGCCCCCACTGCTGGACACTGGCAAAAAGTTAACGTTTGCCTGTTTGTAAACATTTTAAGACCCATCTTCAAATCAAGTTAACGGAGTCAGGCCACGATGTTCGTGGAGTAAAGAACAGTTTGGAAATGTCAGAAGCAATCAGAGGTCACACTGAAATGCCTTTGTGTCATGTCTTAGCTCCTTCATACAGAGGAATAGTTTGAAATACCAACTTGCTCGTAGCTGTGTCCTTGAAAAAATTGTGAGCTTGTGTATTGGACCTTCAGATGTAAATAGAAAGTCCCTGCAAACTCATCTGTCAGTATGATATTGATACTGTTTCCTTTTAAAAGGTACAAAAATTATTTTAGGAGTCCTAAATATGCTGGCTACACTATTAGCTATGTTATTCTAAGTACATTTTTGCCTTTTTATACATGTTAAATGTACAGAGACCAATGTTAAAAGGACAATTATTCTTTGATGTTAAAGTGTCTTTGACTCCATTCTGTTGTGCCAGTGTAGTTAAGCCAGAGCAGTTACATTTATACAACCAGCTCTTTTGTGTTACCTATTTGTATCTGGCTGCACTTTGCTCAGAAAATGCTTCTGCTTTTACAGTTACATTACGAGCCAAGTTAACGTTATAATTGATGCACTCAAACGTATCCAGCGTTTCAGTTGTAATTATGACCTCTGCTTTAGCAACTCTCCTAAAATTGCCATGACAAATTAACTAATAAGAAAATTAATAAGAAGAATGTGTTTTGGTTCTGGGCTGTTGGCACTTTTTTTGAGATTACTAGGGAAGGAAAGCATCCACTTCTTATGCTCAATAGTTCATCGCTTTCCTTCTTCCCTGTCTTCACCCTCCCTCGCATTCTTCCTGGAATGTGCAGTGTGTGTATTGAATGTGTAGTCATATTTAGAAGGAAAATGAAAAAAAGATAATTGGAAATTTTTGGCCTGAACCTGCTAAAGGGCAGTCTGAACCTCTTTAAATGTTGAAAGAGGAGATTGTGTATGAGCCTATGGACCTGTAGAACAGTGAGCTCAAAATTCAAAAGGCTGATTTTCTAAATTTAGCCTAAGAACAGCCAACACACTAGAAGCCTCTAAAGAAAAGCTGGTCCCACAACTATCCCTATCGGGGGGTCATAATCTAGTAGGGAGAGGCATCATTAAACCCAAGTCTCTGCCCTGATCAAGTCAGCTTCAATCCTGAATCTCAAATGTCAGTCTGACAGTAGCTGAGACTTCCAAGTACTTCTTGTGTCACCAGTACCTGGTCAATGTTCACATGGGAAGCAGCAGTATTAGCAGGTGTGACTTTTTGAGTTATCTCAGAGTAATTACAACATAATTCACTTTTATACCCTTGTTATTTCTTTCAGTATAACGGTTCTCGTCCAAGGGAGGAATGGGAAATGTGGCACCCGACTCTCATTGCAGAAGCCCTCTTTGCAATATCCAACATTTTAAGTTCCTTGCGTCTCATATCCCTGTTTACAGCAAATTCACACCTGGGACCCTTGCAGATTTCTCTGGGACGCATGCTGCTAGACATCCTTAAATTCCTTTTTATCTACTGTCTGGTGCTTCTGGCTTTTGCCAATGGACTGAACCAGCTTTATTTTTATTATGAGACCAGTGCCTCGGAGGAACCCAACAACTGCAAGGGGATCCGATGTGAGAAACAGAACAATGCCTTCTCCACGTAAGACATCCTTTCCTTTCTGTTTTGAAGGTTGACTTCCACTGTCCCCCGTCTTACCTGCCTTTGCCTGTTGTCTGCCACTGCACTGAAAGTGCCTTTATTTATTCATTCTCAAGTATTGGGTGAGCTGGCTGACTGTGCAGAAAAGGTGGGAGTTAACTGGGGCAGACATTCTGCTGAGCTTTGCTGTCAGACTGACTGGTCTGGAAGTGGGAGACAATCATTTTAGTTCTGGACTAAAGAGTCTCCTACATGATCCTGCAACTTAAATTTTATTATGGCTACGTACAATTTCTGTATATTTGAGAAAGCAACTATCCTTTTGCCATAATAATAATTTTTTGTCTGATTCTGGAGTAAAGGAGGAGAAGCTAAACAAAATGTAGAAAACAAGGGATAAACCTATAAAAAAAGGTATTAATAAAAAATGTGATACAGCAACAACAACAATCTCACCTAGGCCATTTTTATGCATACATGGTGTTGCAGGTTTCTCTGATTTCCTTGCAGTGGGGTGAGACTAAAATCCCAGCAAAATCCTTTTTGCTGGAAATGCTGATACTTTACTGAGATGTTGGCATGGAAATTGCTGTGATGACAGCTGGCAGGGCTGAAAGAGATAGCACATGCTGAAAAATAACATGAATTGTCTTTCTGATATATTTGTTTTAATTACTAATAGTGGAAATAATTATAATAATCAACCCCCACCCAATTGTTCTTGCTGCTTGCACAGTACTTAAAACACAATGGGAAGAGAAATAAATAAAGCACGGTCTAGAAAAAGGCCTACGCCCTGCAAACAAGCAAAACAAAACTGTTGTCCACCACTTTATGCTAAATTAAATAAAACTTGTCATAATGCCCAATAATTCTCCACCCTTCCTCAGCTGAAGGCTTGAGGTTAAGAAGGGACTTGTGAGATTTGCACTGTTATCAAAAGCAGATGATGGCTGAGGCCACATGACTATGTTGGAAGAGGAAAGGCTCCAACATTGTCCTGCGGGCTCCCTCCTTAAACGAAGCAGGGGATTTTCATGGGATAGAATCCAACCTTACAAGAGCATCATGACCTGGTAGACCAGACGTGCTGCCATTTTCCACTGCAGAGCAGGAACACCATAGGCTTGATTAATTTTCTCATTAAACCCATCTATATCTGGAGGAAGTGAATGGAACTGCACTGTGCTAATGAAAAACAGAATTAAAGACTTCAGTCTTTTTTCTATTTTAATTGCTTCGCATGCCTCAGAAATGTGTTGTGCTGCCCTTGCAAAGGAATTAATTAAATAACAAATATTATTCCTTGATCTACGTCCATATTGATGCAGCAGCCAGAGGGAGAAACGTTTGGCAAGCACAATGTTCGTTAAGTGGCAACTTGTAGCTCAGAAAGGGTCAAACCCACAAAGTTGAGGACTAGAGCCTGCCTTTCCCTGGGGCTACGGTGAACAGATGTATTCAGTTGCTCTGGTTTGGACCTGTCTCCATTGCAAACCAGTTGTTTTACAGATTTCACTGTCAGCAAGTTAGAGGAGAAAACAACAGCAGGATTCTTTGACTAAAGAAAAAAGCGTTTGGTCAGCAGGAGAAAAAAAAAATCCTCAAGTCTGTAAGAAGGTGTGGTATCTTGAGAACTAGAAATGATACAGAACCACTTAACAGAAAGTGTGCAGATCAGCTTAAATACAGACCACAATTTCTCCCACCCTAACATTCAGTTTAAACCCCCTGCCGAGGAGAATGTAGCACAGAAAGGAAATTGAGGGGGCTCAGCCTTTAATGGCAGAGGTTTGTTTAAAACAAAATCGCAGTGGGAGGGGATCCATTAGGACTGAGGTCTCCTGGCAGGGGACATAATGCTCTGCAGTTACTTTTTGTTTGAGACTTGCTTAAGAAATTTATTTAACATGTTCTTAAAAGTTTAAATAGTTGTTATTAACACCCCCAGTACAAGCTGACATTTGGCCCTTGAGCAGATGCACAGCATGGGTGACTGGCTAAGAACGAGCAACCTGCAAAACGGAAAATTACATTGTTGGGCTGGGGAGAGCAAGCGTGGCTGGAGTGAATTCAAGTCAGAGCTGGTGTTACCTCAAGTTTGCTCATAGTTCATCCCTAATGAAAGAATAAATGTAAAAAGCTTTCAATCAGTACCCCTTGATTCCTACCAGCATTTCTAGGCAGTCACACAATAAGATCTAATTTTGTAAGAGAAGGAAAAGCAGGATGCCACTCGTGTTTGTACAGCTTGTTTAAAATGTGACACCTATTTACTGGTGCATTATTTCCTATTACTCCCAAAGGATGGGTTTAATATTTTCTTGGTGAGGAAATTTTCTGCATCGCAAACACAGATCATGGAAAAGTAATATTCCTTTGTGACAGCAATGAGGTGAAGTCATGAATAATTTAAGGTTTTATGCTTTGGCCTCACCATCCCTTAGAAAGCAGCGTCTACTGCTTAGGCAGACAATTTGAAAATATGTTTATCGCTGTGATTCTGGCAACTGCAGGAGGGAGGAGAGGAAGAGGAGGAAAGGGTGGAGGAAATCACACCTTACTGCCTGCTGTGTCATTCTCACTGGAGGCTCTTGCTGATCTGATCCCTGGGACCGTTTCTCCAGGGACTGCAGGAGGTCTGGAGGGTTCTTGTGGCAGAGCGGGGCACTTGCTGTCTCTAAGATGCCACAGAGAGTGGTGGAGTTTTGAGATTTCTCCTGTTTGCTCAAGATCCAAAATATACTCAGCAGGAGGGTATAGTCTCTCAATCGCACTTTCCAAAATTCTTTTCCTAAAGCTGCTTCTCCGAAGTAGCGTGAGCCCCACCTGAAACACCGTGAAAAGAGATTGTGGTTCTGGCCTGTCATTAACCATTGAGGAAAGAGTAACTACGCCTTACTTTAATGCCAAGTTGCAGAAACCAGTTGCTGTCTCTTTCAAGGGGGACTACCTGTCCACATGTAAATATACTGGCCTTAGTCTGGGCCCAGGTTATACTCCTGGTTAATACTGTGAATTCAGAGCAATGCACTGATCACCTCTAAGACTGACTGCAGTTTTATGATGGGAACCTCTGGCTCCCCCGAGCCTACAGCCTAATCGGTACTTTTACTGCTAATAGGTAAAATCAGTTAAAAGATAGCTAGCACTCCACCGATTTTAATAGAGAAATGCTTAGCATTCTTTGGTTAATGCTTATTTTACCACCTCACTTATTTAATAAATCTAACAAACAGCCTGACTTTGGGGAGAAAGGATTTTTGCTTTAAAGAGTCTTTATAATTTTGGCCAGTGAAAACCATAAGATAGGTCCATAAAATATAAAGAAACTAAATCCCCATATAAAGCATGGGGGTACACGTGGAACAGATGCCCGGAGAAGCCGGGAGGACAGATTCTTGGTATGTCAAGTGAAGTATCTGAATTATTTCTATTGATTTTTCTAGTAGGAGCGTTTGAAAATACCTACTGACCTCAGGCCAAAATGGAAACTCTTAAACAGGCATATAAATGTCATTTTTTGATGATATAAATGCCATATTTTGGAAAGCCAAAACAAAGATGCCCAAATAGAGCAATTATTTAGATTGCTGATTATGTATTTGACGTGATTGCGAAAGGTCACTTGTCTCTGGCTGAAGCAAATAGAGACCTGGGATGATCTCATCAGCTGTAAAGCACAGTGAGGTCAGGTCTAGTTCATCTATGGAAGGAAGACTTCAAAAGAAGAAAACCTCTCAAGCTGAATTAATGTGATGACTCTCTTTCATCTGAGTCACTCCTGATCAATTGTTGCAGCATGCTGTTGAGGGCACTGAGCTGTGGTGGGTGGGAGCGCACAAACAAGCCATGGCGACCAGCATTTTTGGCCACGTCCATTGCTAACAGACCGGGTCTTAGCACACTGGCCTGGTTCACTTGCAGCCAAAGTAACTGCAAGTTCTCAGCCTATAATAGAGTAAAAAGTGCACGTGGATGTGATTTCTTGCATCTCCTACCTTGTGGTGTCTCGTTGTTGCGTACTATTTAACTACTACGGTCATGCTGTACTTGGGGATGGGTTCCCTGAACATTCAGTCTGCAGACATGTTAATGATGCATGCACTGATTAAAGAGTTTTTATCTATAGATCACAGCAGTATGACAGCATGGCAATTTTAATTAGAGGGACTATATTGTGGCTGTTCTTTGCACATGTGTAGAGTGGGAAAGGGAACCTTGGGATCCTTCAGGGCACTTAGGCTGGTTGCATCTCACAAGGATGTCTATGTGTTCCCCACCTGAACACTGCCTGAATGAGGCATTGTTTTCCATTTCCCAGAGTCAGGTAGCCAAGTAAAAATCTGGTTTTATTTGCAGACTTTTCGAGACCCTCCAATCACTCTTCTGGTCTGTGTTCGGTCTGCTGAATCTCTATGTCACCAACGTGAAAGCCAGACATGAGTTCACAGAATTTGTTGGGGCCACTATGTTTGGGACCTACAACGTCATCTCCCTTGTTGTGCTGCTGAACATGCTCATAGCCATGATGAACAACTCCTACCAGCTCATTGCCGTAAGTTAACTCATTCTCTCTCTCTTTTTGCTTTGATTTTTCTCCATGTGCCTCATCCGTTTGGCTTACAGCAAGTGTGTATCTTCTGGGAAGCTGGAGACTGCTGCCCCCAGTTTTTTGACAGCAGATAGTTGGGATTTCTACTCACTAGCCTGATTCATGCTCACGGAGGAGGTTTTGCTCTGTTTGTAATGCTGCTTAGCTGGAAAAGGCTTATCAGCTGTGATCTGCCCTTGTCTTCTCCTGTAGAGTAACCTCACTGATCACCTTGTCATTAGCAGCTGATTTACCTTCCCACTGTTTCCTGATGGTTGGTTTTAACTTGGGGGTGTTGTATATTATTTTTTCCTCTCTCCTATTACTCTTTTCTCATTTGAAACCGTGTGTGTCAGGAGCCCAGTCCTGTAATTTCTTATTCCACAGTCTTCCCACTGAAATTAGATCATTTCCATCTGTAACACCAGCCAGTCTCCTGGCAGCTGACTCTCTAGACCCATAATCTCAGATTCCTGAGTAACCTCAGTGCAGCATGGATCTGAGCTCAGGCAGCTCAGGGCTGCCAGTTGGCTGTAGAGCCAGTTTCAAACTTAACTTTATCTTCATTAAAATGTTCAAAACTGGTCTCTACTGTAATCTCATTCTGTGTACCTAGAAGCCAGTCTGTACACTGACGATTAAATTTGTCAACAGATTTACAACTAAAGCAGCATGGCTCTGCATTTTAAGGCTGTTCAGGTAAACTACACAGAAACTGTATGGAAGGAAGGTAAATCTTGTGTGCACTGTACTTAAGGTAAACCAGTGGGCACTTACTTTTCAGTTCTGATGCCTAACATGATGCGTTTAGCGAGGTGAAGAAGTGTTACATCATCTGTGAACAGAAACAGGAGTTAGGAAAGTCATTTGTGTCCTCAGCTGGCCACTCAGAAGTACAGGCAGAGTTCCCTGCTTTGGATGACTCTTGGATTTACCCTAGAAGATAGAGGATAAATCAAAGAAAAAAGAACCAGCACCAGCTCTCCTACTGTTTCCATTCCCAAGTTCCTGGACAAATTGTCTGGAGAAATGTATGGGTGAGCTCCTTTCCTGGCTAAAGCACACAGAGGAGAGTGTTGAGTTGTGTGCTTGAACAGGTTCCACAGCTGCTGTTGATCATCTGCTGGTTCAAGTGGCTCCTGAGTTTAGTTATCTATCTAGTCAATCTGAGCACAGACCCAGTCAAATCGGTGATTCTTTTGGACATCTGATTTTTATCACGTTCAAAAGTATGAGAAAAACAGGACCACTGACCTTCCAAAGAGCAGAAAAGCAGCTTAGCACAAAGGCATCGCTGCTTTATCAGTCTGTTTCAAAGCTTTAAGTGCTTTCTCTTTGTTCAGTGCTACTCCTCACATTCCAGGGAGACTGGAATGAGGGGCCGAAAACAAAGATACTCTCCTTGGCCATTTTCTCCCATTCCCCTTCCTTTATTATCCTCAAATAGGCTTGTCACTGACACAAAGCCCAAACCTAAGATTGGCGTAAGAATAGCAGTATTTGCTATTCACTGGGATACAAACCACTCATCATTCTTTTCCCTGAATAATTGGAGTGATGCAATGACACACTACAAACAATCCCACATGACTTAGAGAGACCCATCATAACAATTAACTGAAGTGAACGGTCCAGAACGGACTGTTAATATTTTTGTATATGGAGCAGTTGGGAACAGTGAATTGCTCCATCAGGAAGTATGCTTGTGAGAGACCCGAGGGTAAAGGACTGAACTCACCAGATAACCTGGGTATAACACGCAATTCTGTGTGAGCCCCCCACTCAGAAGAATGACAGTGAAAATGCTGCAGGATACTTCTTTGTCACTTAAGCTGTCATATTGCAAGTGCTACTGAGAGCAGTGAGAAAAAATGGGGAGGCAAGAGGCAGTCACTTCCAGCCTCTTCTTGTGCAGTGCATGCAGCCTGTTTTTTGAAGCTAGTATTTCTGCATGCTCATAGCATTCTCTCAGGGACAAGTTTTCTTCATGACTTCTAAGGGCAAACATCAATTAATCCCTTCCCTGAAGAAAACAACTCATTAATAAATGTTGAGCCTTACAACTGTGGGTCATTTTTTAAACCTCCTATAATCAGGTCTACCCCTTTCTGAAACACAGCAGACTGGCTGCTGGACTGGGCATTTCTTCCTCCCGGCGGTTGTGTTACATTGAATACACATGGAATGATGGAATGACAGCATTCCAGAGAGGGAGGAGGGGAAAGGACCAAGGAGCCCTTGGAGTGGGGTGGAGCTCTTCTTCTCAAATGCATCAGCAGGCAATCTTGTGCCATGTGCAGGACTCCGCAGAGAAATAAAATGAGCTAGATATGAGGGATAAGAGTGCATCGCTGCTTGTTGATTTCCCTGCAGTGGAGTGGTCAGGACATCTTAATTAATTCTGCTTGTTAATGAGCCAGTGACACTGCTGCAATGCAAACAGTCTTTCTCCGCTCCTTTCTTCCAGGGACAATTATGTTAAAGCATTTGTAGCAGTTATTCTTCAAGTTAGCTCTTCTCCATTGTCTCACGTGTACATGAATTTCTGCTGTGAGGTTAGAGAAAGGAGAATCTAAGCTGCTCTTACTTCATTCTGTCTCCCCGGCGTGGGGGTTAGGGCTTGGTAGTTAATTAAGCACTGAAGGCACACAGCATGAAACCACAGAGTATCTGTGCAAGACAGAGCAAGGCAAGCAAAGAGTAAAACCTCCACACAGCTTTGAGTGACTCCTGACTCACAGAAGGAAGAATTTTTCTGCCGTAATTTTGTTGGGTTTTTTACTAAGCTATTTCAAACTTCAATAAATACATTTTTCTAGGGGTACCCTGAAGCAGTTTCAATATTGATTTTTTGTCATACAGCCCATTTTTCTCTTTGGGCAAACCATTGTCAAGAGCTGGTTATGGGAGACACTATGTTTCACTGACAAAGCAAACAAAATCCAAACACACCAGAATTTCCATATGCTTTGTGCTGTTTCGGTATGCAAAGATCAGAATGTCCTATACAAGCAGCACACAATGCAACTGGCTGTTAAGCACTGCCGGGTCTCTCATCTCAATACCTTCCCAGACGTGACAGAAATACCATCACCTGATGAATAGAAGAGGAATATGTCATGATGACAAGAGGAAGGACAACGGAACTTATCTGAGAGTAGCCAGGTGGCTCCATCATTCGTAAGTGGCAGAAAGAAACAGAGTGGGTAATGAGGACACTTTATGTGATAGGCTATTTCTCATCGGATTGCCACTTGGCTGCAGCTGAAGTTATACAATCCTTCTGCCAGTTTGTAATTTTTTTCAAAACAATGCGATAGTGGGAGTTACTGGGGATCCTAGGGTCCAGGTATGTTTTGCAGGGAATTGGCAATCTACGCATATTTTCTGAAAGCATGTTCCTTATGGACACTTCCATGATATTCTGGGAAGTCGTGCAGGAATTAGTCACTGGAACTGTACCAACAGTTCCACCTCTGCAGCCGCAGTAGCAATAGGAAATGAGATCGATGGAAAAACGGCAACTAAGACCCATCTGCAGGAGGAAAACCATACGGCTGTGAACTCGTAATCGGAGTTCCAGGTGAGTTAGAGCGATAAGTGGCACACAATGGCGCTGCAGCACTAGGCATCCCACTGACATATTAAGGAGAGATGTAAGCACTTGCAGCTTTCAGATGTTTTAGGGAAGTACAACGATGCTTTATTCCTCAGGGAGAGCGTCACACCGAAGTAGGTCTGAGAAAAACTACCTCTAACTACTGTGCATGAAAGCAAAGGTGTTACAGCTTCAAGTGCGTAATACATGGTGTACATGTGATGTTGGAATAATGACTTCGCTCTGGCAGTATGCATGAAGTTACAAAATCGTTTTGTATATTGTATTTGGTATCCTCCCATTGGTTTGTATGTCTTATTTCAAGCTAGTTCACCTCAGACAGCTGTTACTGCAAAAGACAGCTGCATATTCAATTTTTTTAAGCTTATCTCTATAATCAAATTGAAACGTAGTTGCAAGTGTTCAGATTGGAGAGATTCAGGCATTGGACACCAAACTAGGAGTGCGGTTTTAAATGATGGAATGAAATAGAGTGGATTAGCACATACTGTGGAGGACAAGAATGAAAATGGTAAATATTTTGCATAGCAAAACAAAAGCTGTAAGTAAACAGAAACAGTTGGTATGTGCAGCTAAAAATAAGTGCTCACTTTCAGGAAATTTTGAATGTAAGTGTAGGGATGTTGTACGTGAAATTTTTTCCATTTTTGCAGAGTAGAGAGAGCTTAAAAATTAAAGCACAGAGAAATATAAAGATTTTTCAGCTCCCTATTACATTGTTTCCAAGATGACTTTGTATTTCCCCCAGGAAGTAGTATCAAACTTTTCTTGATCTACAAAGAACAAGAATTCCTCTACTTTTCTGCGCCAGTTGAACTCCCTCAGCAGCACAGCAGTAACCGCTACCCAGTTTAATTCACAACAGCGCCAGAAATTCTCTTCCCCACTGTGATCTATGACCCTTAGGACTGTCAAAAAAATGTTGCACCTCCTCTGCTTGCATGACCTGCACTGTTATTACTTGGTGGTTTTGCTAAGGGAGAATTTTACGAATCAATAAACTTACACAGCTGGACAGTCCCTGCATGTGGCAGGTTTTGAGGTGGTAGATTGTCCCCCTATAGAGGCAAGGCCAGCTCCAAAGCTTGAACTCAAATCTAAGCTATTGTAAAGCCTCAGGAAGCGTTCATCTCACAAGCCCCATTTCAGAACCATTAATTTGAATTTCTTAAGCAGAAATTGAGATGTGTTTGTTTTATAACTCTGACATACAGCAGGAAATTAAATTATGCTCGTTATACTCTTGTTGCCAATATGACCTGGGATTAATGCCTCTTGAAGCTTTTTATGGTGTAGCAAAACAACTAGGCTCTAGAAAGGGGATTAAATGGTGGTTCTTTGGTGT